CCATTGAAAAATCCTGCAAATTCCCGTCTTTCCATTGATGAAATCCTTGATTCTCGGTGAGAGGACAGCTCAAATAATTTTTTTCTTTGGGGAAGGACCTATCACATGAGAACGACGACTCTCATACGACATTCCTGAAGCTCCCGGGAATCCGACCCTGAATTTTTGCGGCGATCGGTTCAGGCGTTTTTGAAATTTGCGAGTTTCGGATTTTTCAATGTTTTTCCGATTTTTCGTATTTTCGTGGGTTGAGCACTCAAATAATTTTTTTAAGGTAGAAGGACTCATCGCATCGGAGAACTGACCCCCCTATAACCACCGCTGGATCGCCCAGAACACGCTCCTTAATTTTCACGACGATCGGTTCAGCCGTTTTCGAGTCTATAGGTGACACCAGACAAACAGACAGACAGACAGACAGACAAACAGACATACGTTTTTATATATATAGATTATCTGTGGAGTGGTTCTTCGACTAACAAGTAAACATTCTTTTTTGAAAATGACAATCACCAGGTTTGACATGCCTTTCTGAAAGTTTCCGAGCCCCGGAGCAACCCCGAGTCGTTTTTCCCTGCTGTCCTGCATTTCATACCCCTTCCCTGCAGGCTCCGAAACCCGGAAAAAACACCATTTACATTGAAATCCGGGATATTTTTCTCGGATTTTGATGGAAATGTTTTTTCCCCAGGTTCCGAAGCCCGGAAAGACCCATTCCCACTGATATCCGAGCAAAATATCCCGGATTTCGATGAAAATCGGGTTTTTTCCGGATTTCGGAGCCTGTAGGGAAGGGGTATGAAATGCAGGACAGCAGGGAAAAACGACTCGGGGTTGCTCCGGGGCTCGGAAACTTTCAGAAAAGCATGTCAAACCTGGTGATTGTCATTTTCAAAAAAGAATGTTTACTTTTAAGCCGAGCATGAAGAAAGTCTGTCCTTGACTTTTATTAATAGTCATTGCAAAGGCCAATCGTACAGGAAATTGTCTCCTTTTCAAGCGGAATGGGAGTTTCGAATCACAGTAGTTATCGATTCGAGGTATGATGGTGATTTGCCCCCGTTTGACTCCGGTGATGAACTTGCAGCCCAATGTGAATTGTCCCAAATATTCGATGCTGAGCCTCGTGCCGTTGCACAAACCGACGCTCACATCCAGATTGCGCAGTAAAAACACGATTGCTCCTTTCTTCAAATTCAACTCATGCGGAGGCATGTTAGGCGGTGTGAGACTGTTGAGGTAACCGACGGGTGGACGAGTGGTTAGCGCGTTTGTCACTACTCGTGCAAACGTGCATAGCCGCAACGACGCCGCTCGCGCGGGAGGCGGTGTGGGTTCGATCCCTGCTGCCGGAAAAATATGCAGGTACTCGGCCTTGATCCTCCTGGGTACATTTGCTCTATGGATCCGTCCTCGGAAGCAATGTGAATAACAGTACCCGGGACGTTAAACCTTGGCTGTGTGGATCAGCCCGAAAAAGAGAGACTGTTGAGGTATTCGATCGGGAAAAATGAACGCTCAGCTCCGTCATCCTCCGCGACGTCATCTATACTCCTGTAAGTACGCGCTTCGCTCGGATGTCTCACGGTCAGGCGATCCAGGATTGTTCTATTCAAGTCCGACACGCAAGCGTTCGTTGGAGCCAAAATCGCTTTCTCAGCCAAGGCATATGTGCTTTCCGGTTCGATGATTGATCCGTAGATTTCATCAACTATGTCAGCGTGACAAATCAATTCGCTCGGAACTTGTACTCGACCTCGCGCATCATTGCGTTCACCGTTCCCAACTTGGAGTCAGAATTTGTGCCACGATGGATCACTCTCTCGGGAACGGACATTCTCCTCCAAGAAAAGGGTTTTGAAATTCCTCCATATGCATGACCGAAGTACGCGAGCGTCGATAATATCGGATGCGGAGCCGCGTTCCACAATGGGAAGGGTTTGCCGGAAATCGCCTCCAACCACGATCATCAAGCCTCCAAAAGGAGAATCATTCTGGAGCACATCTTTCAGGAGCGCATCAACGGCTTCCGAAGCAGCTCTCGGTACCATGGAGATTTCGTCCCAGATGATAATGTCCAAGGTGGCGAGATATTTAGCTTCTTTATGTTGGCGGCTCATCGTGGAAGAGTGGTTATTGTCGTGGATATTCAATTTGAATAAAGAGTTCACAGTGCGCCCATGGGGCAATAAGTTTGCAGCAATGCCGGTCCACGCAACACACTGAACCTTTCGTGCCTCTCCGATGGCGATATTGTACAGCGTGTTGTACAAATACGTTTTTCCTGATCCGCCGGGGCCATCGATGTAAAAACAGTCCCCTGTGGATTTCCTCAATGCGCTCAGGATTGTGTCGGCTGCTCGCCTCTGCTCTCGATTCAAATGTGCGTACATTGGAGCTCCTTCAATGGAATGTTGATCATAATCAGGCTCCATCGATGCAATATCGGGATGGTCGCATTGCGGCGATGGTACGAAAGTGTCGAATGATACGCCAAGCGAGGCCAAGTGCTGAGCGATGTCACTGTACGCCAAAGCAACTGCGATTTCGGCAGAGAATTCACGATGGACGAAATTTTCGGCCAATCGATGCTGGAAGTCACTCCAGAGAGCCTGGACATTGAATACTTCACAAAACGCGACGAGGCACACAAAAAACGTTCTAAGAACCTTTGGGATTTGGAAAGTGGATGCTTCTTCCAGACTCTTCTTGAAGTATGTGTCATCATTGAAGAGACCTGCTGCCCTTGCAGCATCCATGAACGTACGGTGAAGTTTGCCGTCAATTGTCCTGAGATCCTCGAAAGATTTGGGGCCACGTGTATTCAGTAGAAGTATTCGGAGAGCATAACGCTCCGAGTCTCGTGGGGAAACTGTATACATTCGACCGATGACGCCGCCCCAAGAGCGCTTCCTTCTTGTCCATCCCGTACTCGGTGTGGAGACGAAAAATTCGGGCAGCTGATTGTAATACAGATCAGATACTGTCACAGTGTCAGATGCTTGCTCGTTCCATGTGGCATTCAACCGAAAGAATGCAGTCAGAGTCGTGAGGCTGACTGCAGCTCTGTCAATCGCCAACCGCTCATCACCTTCTCGGAAGTGAATGTTTTGCTGATCGGCCATGTGAACGGCGAGCCTGATGATGGTATGTGATTTGTTCTGGAGCTCAAAACCGGAAATTCTGTGAAGTGCTTCCGGGGCACAAACATATCGTGCGTTGAGGTGCCTCTTGATTTCATCACTCTCGTCGTTAGATTTTATTTCGATGAGAGCTCGATCTGCGCCTCTATAAACACACTTGTAGAGATACTTGACGGATGAAATCATCCCGCAGATCTCAACATTAATATGGCAATTGTTCTTGAGCAGAAAATATGGGTCATACGGTACGACCCAGTCATCGCCATACGCGGTCTTTCCGATGGTCGCCTTGAATCTATTTCTTCGGCGTAAGAGTGGATATCCGTCGTTGGCTACAGATGTCTGGAGCCTCAGGTCTTTTGGGAATTTTTTGGAACATTTGCCGTCCTTCATACATGGAGCTTTCGAGTTGTTAACACCGCAGTTCCGATGAATCATGAAAGATTTCAAGGCTTCATGGAGTGATGGTTCTCCGATGGGGTCCGGGATTTCGGCGCAAGATAGTTGATCGACTACTTCTGCGTTGTGCGGCTTATGCTCGTGCTCTTATATGAGCAAGGCGTGACAGTGAGGTAAACCCCGTTTTTGGAACTCTATGACCATGATATAGGCGCTAATCTCTCCGAAAACTTTTTTTTCACAATGTCGTGAAAAATTTCGTCGAGTTTATATTTGAAGACCTTGGCAATGAGATCCGGACGATTTTCTGCCGATTGGCCAGGGTACAGATTCTCCTGAATTTCCTTCCACTTGGGATTGCACGTCACTGTCATGAAGATGTCAGGTTTTCCGTACCGCGAGACGATAGCTATTGCGTCTTGGTAACTTTGTTGCATATGACGTGGCGATCCTGTGAAACTAGAGGGGAGGATAATCTTTCTGCCGACCGGTCCTTGAACGTCGTCATCGTGTTGTAGGAAGTCTTGCAGGATCTGATAGGACTCGGCGCGCATCTGTGCTTGATTTTTCCGGTAGTAATCGAGCCGATTTTGCTCAATTTTCACGAAAGAATCTACAGCGAATTGTTGAGAGAGTTTCCCCGCGTGCAGAATTGGGTTGAATGAATCCCTAATCGCGTATAGATTCGAATAGAACTGTTTCTGCGTGATGCGTTTGCCTCGGTTGTCTATCAGGGTCGGCTCCCAACCATCTTCGCCCGTCGGGAACAACAGAGGATAGGTTAGAGGGTCACATCGTTTGTCAAGGTGTGATATGTTGGTCAAGCGTCCTGCCCTGTCGTGGATGCAAATGGAACGGGTCTCTGGAACGTCTCCATCTTCACCTACGTAAATTACAGCGACTTCATTAGAGGTAGGCAAATCGTACAGCCCACCTTCCAGACCATTCGGGCGATTATCTTGGAAAAGCATTCTCAATCTCAAGGGAGAACGGCTCTCGCGCTCTGCGGCCAAGTGCTCAGCTTTCTCCAACTCTGCCATCATTCTGTAAGATCTTGCGTACGGATTGATTTGCGATATCATATGTCCAAGTTCTTCTAACAGACCGGGATCGCATTGAGAGTTTTGAGGTAAAGCCAATCTTTGCGCCGTTGCTTCGGCCGTGTCAAGAATGTAGATCTGGCCAAACTGCCTCGATGCTTCTTCTGAAGGATGCAATGTTCCTATGTTGTGATATACCTGCCCGTGTATTCGAAAGCAATACGGTCCGGCGTTTGGTGGGTTCTCGATCTGAGCACCCATCGAAGCCATGGCGAGAGAAGAATTGATATTCCGAATCAGATTATGGAAGTTGCTCCGGAGCCTGATGCAGTGCTCATCATCGTGGGAGTCATGTTGCAAAAGCTTTCGTAAACGGGAAGGGAAGTCTGTAAACCTCGTCATGGAAATTCTACCCAGATTGCAACACTCTAAATAGATATTCGGATGTTGAGTCTTTGTTTCTGCTGCGAAATGCTTGGCACCACAATTCTCGCAAAGGTGCTGTAAAGCCCCCAGATAATGGCCATCTACTTGTCTGCAACTCAGAGCGAGCCTAGGCTCGGCGGTGGTGGAACGACGCTTGCGGTGCCGTAGAGCATCGGTCGCAAGTCTGAGGGACGTTCCTGTAGGCGCTTCCGTTATTCTCGACGAGCTTACCCTCCGCGCGGCATTCCGCAAACGAAGCGTCCTCTGGTCTGGTGTCTCTGAAGCTCTTCGGGTCGCCTGTCTCCGAGCGTTGGCACGTCGTCGAGTTGTAGATTGCGGTTCCACTTCGCGTGTTCTCGCAGACTTTTTACGAGCGGAATCCGATGATTGACGGCGACGCCTTTTGTCCTCGTCCTCCGAGGCTCGGCTTGCGGCAAGAGCCGCGGAATCTCTGGCAAGCCGCTCCTGCTTTTCATTCGGAGTTTCATTGCGTGAACGTTTGTTTTTGCAGTTGAGCTTCTGATGCTTCCTATCAGCATTCGGATCGTAGTCACTACGCTTGCGTTTAGTCATTGCTCTAAGACGCGTAACGAGTTCCCGGGCGGAGCCGTCGCGTATCGAGTTCCCGGGCGGAGCCGTTCAGAGTTCGGAGCGCTCGGGCTGCGAAGCGCATGCGCAGTTTCCACGGGTCGCGTCGCAACGTCTCAGGTCAAGTAGAGACCGCTTGAAACGCTATATTTGTCGACCACGAGAAATGAATGGTATCGAAAACCCATCTATAGTGTTGAGTTCAGACAAATAAATCACCTGGCACCGATATCAGCTGTTTGTGAATGAATTTTTGTCTACCGACAGACACACAAACAGACTTTGCGTATTATATGTGGGGGGATCTCGAGATGCTGTTTTAATTTAGTCAGGGAATCGAGTATTGATTTCTCCGTACGTCTTGCCAGAATTGCATCATCGACGTATAAGCATACGATTAGTCTGTCCTCATTGTCGCCGTAAAAAACACATGGTTCGGCGAGACATTGTCTGAGTCCTAGACCAAGGAGTATAGATTTGATCTTCATATGGAAGCATCGGGGGGCCTGACGACTCCCGTAAAGAGCCTTGTTAAGTCTACATACTCGCGGAGTATTATCATGGAAGCCCTCCGGTTAGTCCATATATAATTCTTCCTCAATTTCCGCGGATAAGAAAGCGGAAGCAACATCGAACTGGAAGAGTTCGAGTTTCTCTTTTGCGGCAATGTTCAGAACGAGTCTGATGGACTCGAAGCGTGACACAGGACTGAATAGTTCCTTATAATCGATGCCAGCTTTTTGAGCGTACCCTTTCAAAACAATTGTCGATTTGTATCTTTCGATCTTTCCCTCAGCATTTCGTTTTATCTTGGAAACCCACCGACAGCCTAAACTTCGGCGTCCAGGTGGTAGTGTGGTCAGAGTCCACACGTTTAAGGCCTTCATTCTGTTCATTTCGGCCTCCATGGCTTCTAGCCATTCCTGACGTTGTTCAGAACTTATAGCTTCTTCATATGAGTTTTGTTCTTTTATCTGGTTTGAATCGCTAATATTCGCTATCGCAATACTAGCTGGATGCCTCACTTCAGATCTATTGTTTCTTTTCATACGTGGTCTCAATGAAGCTAGACGTTCAGGGTTGAGTTCGTACTGTCTCCTAGTTTTCCTCCTAGTACTAACTTGACCGTCTCCAGTCGGGAGCCTCGGGAGAGAGTCGGCTTCGTTCGTGCGCGAACGGCTCGCCTGTGGTGGTTCGGCCGGTGTTGCACTGTTTTGGTTGCTTTCTTCTATTTGGTCACTCGTCTCCTGCTGGTCGCTTGGTCCAGGCTGCTCCGCTGGTTGGTCACTTGTTTCACTGGTTGAGACATTTTCTGGATTCTCTGGTGGCGCTGGTTGAGCTTCACCATCTTCATTTTCATCTTGCGCACTGCCACTGTTTAGTGGTCTTTTCTTCGGGAATATGACATCCTTGGCTGTCACCACAATTTTTCTCCCAGGTGTCCAGACTCTGTAGCCTGCGACTTCCGTGCCCAGACCCACAAGAAATCCAGGAATTCCCCGGGGGTCTAGTTTCTTTCTGGTTTGTTCCAAATTTACATACGTGCATGGGGTTCCAAATGGTCTGAATCTTTCAAAGTAAGGCTTCTTCCCGTAGAATATCTCATAGGCTGATTGATTTG